GCTGCTGCTGTGGGGTTTGCTGCTGTGGTGGCTGCCCTGGACCAGAGGGTTGCGGGTACCCAGGCTGGCCCTGAGAGCCCTGCTGACTTTGCGGACCAGGTCCCTGCTGCTGCTGCTGCTGTTGTTGACTCTGCTGTTGCTGGGGAGATACATAGGGTGGCTGTCCTGGCTGAGACTGCTGGGGCTGGCTATACGGAGGTTGACTCTGAGGAGGGCCGTGGGGACCTTGAGATTGTTGGTATGGGGGTCCTGGCTGCCCGTGTTGGCCTGGAGTCTGTGAAGGATGGCCCTGTTGGGGGTATGAAGGTCCAGAGGTTCCCTGGGGTTGGCCAGAGTATGGAGGTTGCTGCTGTCCAGGGTGAGGCGCAGGGCCATGCTGACCATAGTAGCCCTGACTTTGCTGTCCATAGCCTCCTGGGCCCTGTTGTCCATATGCTGACATCTAGAAAATAGGATATCAGTTATCAACAGTAGTTTATCTTCAAAGGGGAAGACTAGCGATGCTTGATCTGAAAGTGCGGGCAGACACAACCAGGCACAGTTTTACTATCCGGAGCCCCTCTGTGGAATATCAGTCACTACCTGAATACAGCATGTGTACTGATGGGATCTGCAGAAATATATAAAAATAACTCAATATTCAAAGTCACCTCTTTAGTTTTTTTTTCCCCTTTTCATTTTTTACTATTCATTCTCCACAGAGTAATCAGAGCATCTCTTCATCTTCCTCACAGATTAAACAGAAAAGACAAACTGCCCCCCCACCCCTCAGTTTGAGTGGTGTGTTCCTCACTATAAACTGATCAGTCAAAGCACATAAGAAAAATCATCCAAGTGTCGGAATTCAGCCGTGTATTGCTTTAAATTACTGGCATGAAAATAAAAATTGAGTTTTGACTTCATCTCCTTGAACTTCAATATGAGCCTTTTCATATTCTGCCCGAACCTGCTCGCGGAATGCCTTTCAATACCAGTGTTTTTGTTTCATTACCCTCAAGGAACATGGAAGAAGAAAGCGCTGACCTTGTGAGGAAACACTGTAATAAGAAAAGAAGAAGGGGGGGGAGCCATGTGTGGGGTTTTTTCTTCTTCGCAAGGGGACTGAAGGGGGGTGAGGGGGTTCTCAGCTACTCAAGAACTATAAGAAAATACAAGATAGTAAAGAATGGCCTCACATTTAAAACAACATGAAGTTGCTGTATTGTATCTGTCTGACAAAGGCGGGGAAGCCGTTTTCTTCTCTGCAGGGCACTTATCGAGTCCATGGTCAAACACCAGGCAGGCCAGTATGAGATAATCACACCACACAATGGGCACAAGACCACAGGCAGCGGACGCACAAGAAAAAGGCTTCACTCTACGGGATTCCCTGCATGCATTTCTCTGTTAAGATGAACTGCCTGGCTGAGAGAGTTCAAGAAGGGGCTTATTCCTAGCTATGAGTAAGTAGCTATAGCAAACTGGATGTTTGCCGTTTTCAATTGGACAACGCTGTCAGAAGGTGCTGCCCACTGTGCCTGTCGACACAGCTTGGATTTCCCCCCCATCTTTGGCTTTCAAGCATGAAAATAAATCAGACAGTGGGAAACTGATGGGCTGCTCTCTTTTGTGTCTATCCCTGTAAAGAGTTTTTTTCACCCCTCCTCTTTCTTCAGAGCCTTTTGGGATTCAAGTCAAAAAGATACAGAAACACAGTTTGGTTGGACTCTTCAGAGGAGGTTCGTGGATGTAGTTGAGGAAGGCGCGCAAAGGGTTGGTGTGACAGAAGAGGCAGCATTTTGGTTGGGGCTTTCATCCACCCTAATAACCTATTATTTAAAGTCCTGTTTAAGTATGCAAGGTAAGAGACACTCAAGGTGACAATGCCGATATTTCTTTGATGTCTAGCAGAGCAGGTGAACGTTATTTGGCTATGTGTTAATGCACTTTATCCTCTCTAGTTTACAAGATATATCTAGTTTAAAAAAACAGACACAGGGTCACACTGTAAGTCCTTCAGATCTTTAGCTTTTTGTTTAATTACAATTGTTATGCTAAGATAACTGTCTGCGGGCTCAGATATGACATCGACGTAATCGACACACACACACAAACACACACACACAGTACCACGCCATCTTCCCTATGACAGCCAGAACAGGGTCATGCCTTAATGGCTTTCAATTCCTTTAAGTCACTGTACCTGGATGACATTTGTTAAATATCTTCTGCTAACGAAGAGTTGTTTGACCTGGATTAGACTTTCTAGTAATGACATAGTTGTTCCAGTGCTCTATTACTCTGGCAGTATGGCAGAAGAGTGTTACCCTATCGATACTACAGGCTCTTCTCTCAAACCATGCTGTAGTTTCTTATCCTAGTTCATGTCTTCTTCTCACTAGATGGTACAAATTTGTGGAATAAATTCTGACTGCACAGTGCTGCTTTTTTTAAACTCGACTGCTACATATCACCTCACAAATATTTTTCTTGTCATATTTCTTATTCAAATTATTTTACATTTCTTTTTAAGGACTTTTAAATTGGTGCAGTAAACCAAAATGTAGAAAAACATCTCATCACCTACTTAGTGGACAATCTGATAAATTTACTAGCATAATTGATGAAAAGAATTTAGCCTAAGTCACCAGATATTTCAAAAATAATCTGCACAGAAATGTCTTAACAGCAAATATTGGTTGTGTAAGGTTTCAATTAAAACTGTACAAATAGAGAGCCAAGTTAATCATTACTGACCTGTTGTCCGTATTGCATGCCACTCATGGTTCCGGGTGGTCGGCTCTGCATCCCAATAGGGTACCTCTGAGGGCCCGGAGGGCCATAGCCTTGCCCTGGGTAAGAGCCTGCCTGCTGGGGTCCAGGCCCTGTGGGAGGTCCTTGCTGCTGCTGCGAGAAGGGGTTGGGTCCTCCATATGGTTGGCTGCGCATCTTCCCTACCTGGTCCATTGGGCCTGGAGGCTGGAGAAGATACAAAGAGAATATGTGATACATCCATGAACTCACAAAATAGATTGCTGGAATGACAATTCTGACATTAAAACTGTATGGTGAAGCTGACTTTAGAAATAACTGTGTGATCCACACAATTATTGTGATTTTAGTGCTGATGGTAGTGGCATGTCTAGAGCCCCTATTAGAGGGTTCAGTCATACCTCCTAACAAGCTCTATAGTGACAGAAATAAAGGGATCTTGTTCCGAGCCCAGTGATGTGACAGAAAAGGATGAGAAAATGCAGTCCAGGTCAAATTTAGCTAGAGTTATTTAAGAACCTTTTTTAGTGAGTTGTCTTGAGAAGGCATTACTCAGCATGACTCCACTGCAGTGTGTCCTATGAGCATCATCTCATAAACCAGCCACAGTGTAATCAAGCAAATATAGAACAAAAAGCAGAAGGGAGGGAAAAAAAAACTGTAGTGGATTTACTTTCCAAATAGAAAGGGAAAAAAAAAATTGGCCATGAATGAATGAATAAGCCCACTACATCCGCCAGGAGCGTTTCCCGGCCCAGGAGATCATTGTGCCAGTGGGTGGATACTGTTACGGCAGAGACGTTGGTAAAGGTTTCTATGAAAATAAGCTTAAGGAAGTGGAAGTGTCTGCGGTGGCTGGAGCTGTGCCCACCACTCAGCTGGAAGCCGTGTAAGGATAAGGGGTCGGGTGGTGGATGTGGGGAATGACCTAGGGCATCCTGGACTCGTAGAGATTCACGTGGTAAAAACAGGGAAAGTTACGGAGTCAGATGGCATATTCTGGGTTGGTGGTGGTTTATAATGAGGTAGTTTCATCTGTCAACAGCTGGAACCAGTGTCATAAAATGTCTATGCCATAAAGTCTGTGACAGTGTTTGTGTGTACATAATACATGGTGGGATCCCTTCCGACACAACACTCCTCTGGCATGAGAAAAAAAAAAAAAAGTATATCCAATATTTCTAAAAAATTAATAAAATGGGATTCCACTGCAGCATTATTAACTGGTCATCAAGTGGAAAAATAAACAAATAGCAATTCACAACAAGTTTTCTGCTCGTTTGCCATGGTCTGATGCCATCAACACATCACACTTCTGACAGCCTGTGCATGTTCCCATCAAACCCACCGCAGCGGCGTCTGAAAGTACAAACCACAACGGGGTCTTTGAAGTAGCAACACCTCCTGGCCTGCTGACCTCGGGCAGCAGACACAAAGGTTTCATTGCTTCCCACGGTTATTAATCTGTGTGCAAGTGTGAGTGTGTGTGTGCCTGCGCGCGCGTGTGCGTACGGGTGTGTTTTTCCTCCCCCAAAAACCTCTTTTCCTCGGTTAAGGGAGACAACCACTGGGGCTATTTATAGCCAGTGAGACGGAGAGGGCAGTCTGCCGAAAATGTAACAGGTCCCAGCTGCACTGCTGTTTGAACCCGGGCCAGGGCTTGCTCTTCCTGGGCTTTAATAAAGCAGCAGGCTTTGGCACTCTATGAATGACAGTGCTGCAATGAAAGAGGGGGAGGTCGGGGTAGGGGGTGACTCAGTAGGAGGCTTGTGTGTTTGCGAGTGTGTGAAAATATGTGTGTGTGTTGCGGAAGACTGTAGCTGTTGGAGGTGGTGGTGGGGGTGTGTGGAGAAGGGGTGGATCAACAAGCTGTCAGCGTGGTCAACCGACATTATCCAAGATAACATATTCCACTCCAGATTTTCCCTCTAGCCTCCCCCAGGCCAAACTCTCCTGAGCTCCTCCAGGTTCACAAGAGTGTGTGTTTGTGTGTTGTGTTGGATGTCTGTGCAGGGAAGGAGTAGGTGGGAACAGTGGGAGGTGGGATGGGGTATCTTGCACTCCCTTGGGTCATTACCGACCGCACCAGGAGTAGAGGTAACAGGCTCCACTGTGACCTCTAATGCACTTTTAACCCCAGACTCGAAGAAAGGACACCATGCCTGCTGCCCCCCCTCCCCAGTCATGCCAAGATAGGAGTCCAAACATCACTCTACACAGCTTAAAGATGACTGGTAGAAAGCAGTGAAGCAGACACCACATTGTTGCTGTTTTTTAACACATTTCCAAAAGTTTCTTTTGTCCAATTATGGCAATGAGGAGCCAAGAGGAGAAAAAAAACTGGAGCGGTTTCTTTCACTGGACAGAAATATCCTATAGCTCTTTTCTAATGAGCTGCTTAAGCAGTTAGACAGAGCCTCCTGAGTCATCTGTAAAGTGTGCCACCGAGGCCTGAATCACTGGTAATGTCCTCCAATCCACATGAAAAATGACTAGCATGCAAACAAACTACAAAAGCCGGCACACTAAAGGTAAAATCTATTTCTCATTTAGACAAAAATCTCCCAGCGATGACTGGGCCATAAAACAATCAACCTTTCTTCCCCTCACCAATTTCGGTCGATACTTTTGCCAGCAGTGAGAATATTTCTAAACGAGCGAACAAACTGGCTTTTCCATTAAGAACCATGACAGCTCGGCGCCCAGCTCAGTGGGGAGAGAGCTCGCAAGTACGACTTGACTACAATCGGGGTTTCCAGCCCGGAGTGGAACGTGCTTAGTAACGGCTCCCGAAACAACCACTCTTCTCCCTCTCGTGTCTCAGTTATCACCCACTCCACAGATGCAGATAGGGGTGCTTTGATCAGGTCAGGAGATAGTGAAGGTGAGCGTGCACTGTTCACAAGTGTGTTAACGTATTTAAATTAGGCTTCATTTTCTTATTTTTGAGTCATAACTATTAAACATTCTAAATCTTTTCTGTAGGAAAATGAGGTGAAAAAGCAGAAGAAACAGGTAGACTGCACTCCATTGAATTTGTGCTTCTAAAGATTATAAAAACATCATTTAGAAGAAAAATTAATTTGTCGTATTTGTTGAATCAATAATGCTCTTGTTTTGCAGTTTTTCCACTTTACGTGGACCAGTTCTCCCAGTATACAGCCAGTATAAATGTATTTATTTTCTCTGATACAGCCGCAGACCTTCCACGGTGTAGGCTCTAGCTTGTGGGGACAAGCAGCTGTCTCTACCTGACAGGCTTCATGAGTTCATGGAAATCCAGTCATAAAAAAAAGTTCAATAAATGCATGATGTTTCAAAAGCTTGAATTGAGCAACTGTTTTTAATCGTCGATGACATTACTAACCGCAATAATTTGTGATTATGACTTGCCACAATGAGCAGCACAGCATTAACAGATTTCTAAACTTTGTTTCTACGTAACACAACTATTGTAATAATTAACTGCAAAGTCACTGGATCAAAGTCACTGACCTTTTTAGAAATCAGTAAAGCATAAAAAATAACTACTACCTTGAGCCCTATTTTGCGGGCTTTGCCTTTCATATGCGTTAAATCACAACAACTACTGGCAATGTGAAAAATTTGATCTGCAATGTAGTCAGTCAATTAGCATTCAATAACCTGTTTGGATAATTAAAGTAGCTGAAGCCAAACTCCAAAAATCCAATGAATCGCCATCATGACCACACAATATGGGTAGGACGTGTCGAAAACCGCGCTCAATATAATCTTATCACATTCATGTTTTAGCTCGATGGGTTTAAATGCATATGGTTTACAGCTCAGCATAAAGATGAGGAACGCAGGGTGTTTGTTTTACCTCTCTGCCTCATTCGATCATGTTAACACATCTGTACTCTGCAGGCTGGGAGATAGCTGTGGCCGGCCTACTGCTCGGCACTTCATTGATCTGTTTACCAGTATTTTCCTTGCATTGCTTAAGTTGTTCACATCGGACATACCATTACACATCCTTCAAATTCCCAGAGAGCTTTTGTAGAGGGCTTTGTAGGTGTGTGAATGTCTGCTTTAACCCAACTAAAGAGTTTACTGCATCTTGTAGACAGAGGCTTGTGAATGCTATACAAGAGTCTGTTCATCGTTCTCTTGCTTACAGAATTAGCACTGCTGCTGCTCCTCAAGTTGAGAATTTTATCAAAACCAAAAAAAGAAAAAAAAAGAATAAAAGTAGAATTATGTTAGCAAAGATTAGCAGTACAAGGTTGAGGGAAAAAATTCCAATAGAGGGGATATATACATATCATTTGCTAGTTTCTGATCTATTTAAAAGGACACTGGATTTCAAGGTGAAACAGCCATATCTTTAACAGTATGGGCATGGTTGGTGGTTGAATGTTCAAGGCGAAGGACAGAAAGAGAATCGTTTCTGATGTATCACAGGAGAATGTCAGTGGTTTTAGTGGTGAGGTCAAGATGGACACAGCGGAAAGACGATAAGGCACGCAACACTACTGAGCTGAGTGCAAGTGCTTTGAATCCAAGTGCTTTGAAAGACAAATGGCCACAATAAAGGTCTCGCAGAGAAACCTGCCACCTGCCACTTACTGGCAAAATATGGTCCATCTCATGGAATTTATAAGACTACTTTCTTACAGCATACAGTATTAAAAGCTAGATTCTCAATTCCAGTTTTTCAACAAAGGCCACTCTGTGAATGATAAACATTTGAGTCTATTTTAGAACAGCATTTAACACTTTGAACTATTTCCCCTTTCTTGACTAACCAATTGACTTTGTCCGTTAAAATCCCCACAGTGTACAGCAGAGAATTCAAATGTTATGTTTTGACTGAAAAAAAAAATGACATTAAGTTCCAGTTTACTTTCATATACAACAAAGATGCATCCAATATTAAATTCAACAGACTATGCAGAGCTCTCACCAATTTTAACATTTGCTTTTTGGTGTTACCTTGAAAGGGCTTTTAGCATGTTAGCATGATACAACCAAACAAATTACACTGAACATTGAAACACAGCATTTGGGAGAAAAAAAAGACCTCAGAGAAACTGTTATATTTATTGTTCGACTTACAAACCCCCCCAAATTAACAGGTAGCACTCTCTTGCTTGATCGCTAACCCTATGAGATGTTAATATATATATTTATAGAAATATATACTCCTGGGTAACAATAGCACTAAATTAGCTTGGTCACATTAT